GTCCGAGCCCACGGGGACGGCAAATCTGCGCGCCCACTGCCCACGGCGCCCTGCGGGAGCCCCGACTCAGCAGGCCGCCTCCGCCTCTGCCGCGCCGGGGGTGGGATGTGCCGGGGCGGCTCGGCCTGGCGGGTGTCCCTGCACGTCCGCGAGGCATCCTGGATGGCGCTGGGGGGTCTCGGCTGGGATCCCACAGACACGTGCGTGAGGAAAGGACTAACAGGGAGGACGGCCGCTGTTTGGAATGAGGGAGCAATGATTACCCTTAGCCGGCCGAACGTGTGCTCTGTTTTTTTGCTTGTTTGTTTGTTTTTGTTTTTTTAAATTTAAACTAAAAATTACAGTATCCTGCCCAAGACGAACGCCAATTGCAGAGCAGTTGGTGCTTAGCTAAGGGTTCGATTTCCATTTACAATGTTCGGGTCCCATTAGCGGAGACTTGTAATTTAAGTGTTGATGGGGCTTAGAGATTTGACGACTTAAAAAAAAATGTTCAGTTCCACCAGGTTCAAAGTGTGGAGTTTTAGCATTTAAAGATGATGAATCATAAGATTTATTTTTTTTTTAGTTTTTGTTGAATCTAGGTTGTAGAAATGGAAGAGGTTGAGAGGCTGTTGTGATTGTTACATTACCTTTATATACATTTTTCACAGTGATTATTAAGTCTTACCTTCGTTATGTGTAAGTGTCATAGACAGTAAACTCTTCAGGAGTTTTACCTCGGGGAAGTAAATCAGTCTTCTTGCTAGAGCTGACTTAGACCAAGGATTATTTTTAACGTGACATTTTAATGCTCTATCTCTGATTTCTTTACTCCTTATTAGAAATGTATGTTCATATGAACCGAACCATCGTTTTTAAGAGTTGTGCTCAATACTTCAAAACTTAAGTAATAAAATGGTGCATTGTAATATGAAAAAAGTCTGTTTGTGATTGCATTTGTTTATTGAAACATATTTAACATTACTCTTACGAAAGAATGTTCATTATTTTGAAAAGACCAGCAATTATATTCATGAATGGCACAGAACTTTTTGTTAAACTGTTTTGTTCTTGGAAATTGAATGTATACTATAAATAAGCTTTGGATTATTCGTGTCTTTATTGCATATTAGATATCTGTATCTGGCTTGTCATTTTTACTGGTTTTAGACCAATGAATTGGGAAAGCTTTGGTATAATTAAAATACATTTTAGAAAATTGGACTTATTTATTTATATTTTTGAGTCAGGGTCTCATGTAGCCAGGGTTGCCTTATACTCTAACTGAAACAAAGTTTGGAGGAGTATGATTCAAATTAAACCGAGAATTTCTGTTGAGAAGATTTTGAAACCAAGGAAGTAAAAGCTTATACATAACTGGTACTCTTTTCCTAATGAGTAACTGGAGTATTCGTCAAAGGATGACCTTTATTCTGTTTTAGTCTAGATAATGACTTTCATATCCTGCTTCCTAAATGAATTCATCTTTTACACACTCCTCACGTGGAAGTGGTCTGCAGTTTCCTCATTCCTTTCCCTGTGTGTCAGGAGGATTTCATAAAACTTAGCTTACACATTACTCAAGGGAAAGGATGTTTATTAATATTTAGTATCTGTAAAATTTATTTGATTCAGTTATTGTAATTTACCGTGTAAGAAAGAAATTTCTGTGTGTTCTGTGGTGGTGTATATACCTATAATCCCAGCACTGATGTAGGAT